TTACGCTCTCGGGATTTTCTCTGGAGATAAGAGAACTGCAAGTACCGTAGCTATGACTGGACATTCGTCGCTGATTCTTCTCCGTCTGTGGACTTGGTATGAGGGGACTAGCTTGTGAACATGAATGGACTAGGCTGTCTTCTCCGTATGAGAGGCAAGTCCATTCACGTCCTGGCATGATCTCCAAGCCTCTGTTGGAGCACTCGCCATCTTCAGCTATACGCACCTGCAGCTTCAGCTTCATACGGGAGATAAGTACTCGGTAACACGGGGTCGTAGGAGTGTGTGCCAGACTGTTTCAGAAGCTGACCTATAGCTTTACTCTAAGACTAGCTGACCTAACTAAAATGAAGGTGCTCTTCATGTTATATATTTGTTCAGATATATGAAATTGATATATTTTGAATATAATTTAGCTATAATTGCATGCTGGCATACAGTGTACTTCAAGAGATAGATGAGCTCTGCCCAAAGCTTAAATTTGAATTGATAATTGATAAATATGTATATTTATCTTTGGGGGATTTATCAAGTTGATACATCTAAATATAATTTAGTAATAGATAAATGATATCTTATATATATATATATTCGTATATACGAATAAATTCTATCTTATTGATTTGATATATATTTTATTGGTTTAAAAATATTTCGTAAAATTATTTGCAGCACTGAACGGAACGACATATGGTTCATTGGCCGCGGGTCTGTCACGTCATGATGTGGTTTGATCATTATCCGACCATACGCATTATACTGGCCTACTTTCTGATTTAATTTAGGGATAAACGAAATAAAATTAGCCACAATCAACCGCATTTCAATGACCTCTTTGACCCATGCTCATAGTTTTCGTTACTGAGCTTATAATTGTCCTCAGGAGTAATCTGCAGTGCATATACCATTACTGGTCTCTGAGCTTATGATTGTCTTCAGAAATAATCTGCAGTGCACATACCTTTCCTGGTCTCTGAGCTTATAATTGTCTTCAGAAATAATCTGCAGTGCATATACCATTACTGGTCTCTGAGCTTATGATTGTCTTCAGAAATAATCTGCAGTGCATATACCTTTACTGGTATCTGATCTTACATTGTCTTCAGAAATAATCTTTCAGTGCATACACCTTGACTGGGCTCTGAGCTTATGATTGTCTTCAGAAATAATCTTTCAGTGCACATACCTTTCCTGGTCTCTGAGCTTATAATTGTCTTCAGAAATAATCTGCAGTGCACACACCTTGTCTGGACTTAGAGCTTATGACTTTTTCTAGTAATAATCTGCTGTGTCAATCCCTCGACTTGTCTCAGAGGTAAAATAAGGCATAGCCTTGTAAAGAAAAACTCGTTACAAAGTCTCTTGACCAAGCGAGATCAATTCATTGTTTCCTTATGGGAATCAATTAATTTCTTCAAGTTTATAATTGCATGCTTTATAATTCTTTATAAGTCTGTTTTGCTATATGATTGTAATGTTTACATCATAAATATCTTAGAACGCATTCGAATAGAATGTAACCGGTGATTTAATCTATAAGAGATGTTGTAGGAATTTCGGAATTTAAAAAGAGTTCGAGATCTCTGGCGTGACTTCAATTTTCTGTTTGTTCTGGGAAATAAATACTAATTTTACTGCACATTATTTCTTGAATTCGTTGCTGTCGCTAATGTCTTTAATTTTGAAGCTATATATAGTTGCTAAACCCTATCTGATTACTACATACAATTTGCCACATTAATTTTACAAATGGAATAATTTTTTATAAAATTTATTTAGTGATTCAAATTATTAATTTTCGAATGCGAATTCATACAAATCTTTACAGTTGTAAATAATTTTTTCATGGTCCGTATACGCCAGTTAGTCTTCATAAAATACAAGCTCTGTCGTATTGAAATGCTAATTCTAGTATTCTAACGCAGCTTATTTCAATGTTTAAACTTACGCTCTGAAACTCATGTCTATTTGTTAGATGCACAACATTTATATAAAACACACTGTATTTTTTGTACTGCAAAAACAAAGTTGAGGTTTTATATTTGCTCAGTTGCGTAATATGTGCGACAATAGCAAGACCCGCTGACGTCAGACTTGATCATGAATTGTTGTTGATAAACTGCATCGGGGGATAAAATTCCAAATTTTTCAAGTTCATATCGCAGCGACACGAGTTAATTTAAAAACTAGTATCTATGAGTAGCACATTAGTTCTGAACCGGCGATAAATGCGGCATGATCGCCCACGCAGATCTCTAAAGCATTGCTTAATGGAAAAAAGTGTTTGGCCGTAAGAAAGTATTTATAGTATAAATTTCAAATATATATAGAACCTATATGGAACCTATAAACCCAAATAGAAAGTATAACTCCTAGTGAAGATTTTTCTGATATCATTTTCAATTTTATTCAAAAATAAGTGCTCCCCACTAAACTTACTATTTCGAACAAAGATTCCTGCATTAGAGCATTATATAATTTTGAATGAAGCACGTATGTTCAAAGGAATGTAATTATTTATTTTTAATATGGAGCATAATGCAAGTGAGCCACGCCATGTATACCTGCAAATGTCAGAAGTCCGAGATAGTTTTAGAAAAATCGCTTCAACTCCAGACCAAGTTTGTCAATCAAATCCTCGAGGTGGGCTCGTTTCAGGCCGCGATAACTTTTGATTGCGAATTAGAAGCGAGAAAAGAGAAGGCAATTTCCATACTATTTGACGCAAACTTTGTAGTGCCGAGGCCACTGAAATGCTTCTTTAGTCAAAAGTGCGACACGCAGATGCTTATTTTTTTGGCCCACAGCCAACCGTGGTTTAGGTTGAGGTCAAGCCTCAACCTAAACTTGAAGCAAGGGAAATGTTTAGATGAATTGAGAGGTGAAATATTCGAATATTCGCAGATGAACACAAAGTTTTAAGAGTCACATGTTTATAAAAGATTATAAAATACATTTCGCCCTCATGAAATGCCCATAACATATCGACTCCACTAAGAACACTGCATAAATTTCACGAAAATGGATAAAAAAGAAATTAATAACTAACTACAAAAAATAATACCCAACATCATCCTCAGTCAATGGCCCAACAACCACACACATGTCCATTCAGATGCACACAGGTTCCGCACACACAAGTCCCACACACACAGGTCCCGCATAAACCGGTCCCGCACACACAAGTCCCTTACACAGACAGGTCCCACGCACACAGGTCCCGCACACACAGGTCCCACACACACAGGTCCCGCATAAACCGGTCCCGCACACACAAGTCCCTTACACAGACAGGTCCCACACACACAGGTCCCGCACAAACAGGTTCCGCACACACAGGTCCCACACACACAGATCCCACACACACAGGTCCCGCACACACAAGTTCCTCACACACACAGGTCCCACACAAACAGGTCCCGCACACACAGGTCCCACACACACACAGGTCCCGCACAAACAGGTCCCGCACACAGGTCCCACACACACAGGTCCCGCACAAACAGGTCCCGCACACACAAGTTCCTCACACACACAGGTCCCACACAAACAGGTCCCGCACACACAGGTCCCACACACACACAGGTCCCGCACAAACAGGTCCCGCACACAGGTCCCACACACACAGGTCCCGCACAAACAGGTCCCGCACACACAGGTCCCACACACACAAGTCCCACACACAGCTCCCGTCAGGTGTCTGTAAGTAATTTCATCTAGACTCTCCCTTCATTTGATGAACATTTATCGTTGTACAATCGCAGCCCAGACCTGCTCGAGAGTTCATTTTGCGGTCCCTAGGTCTCCCCTCACCAATTACGCGCCTATTTCTCCCTTTATTCTCCGTAGGCCTAAGGAGGGCGGCAAAAATACAATACACATCCACTACATTTCGGAGACACGCGGCCGGCGCCGTTGTTACTTCCGTTATTGCTAACTATATAGAGTTGGTACACCGAGCTCAGGATGAGCATGGGTGGGAAAATCTGTAAATAATACTGCAGATTTGATAATTTTAATTATTATTAAATGTTATTATTATTAATATTATTAAAATATATATATAATATTATTATTCAAATTATCTATATTAATAATAATAATATTATTATTATTAATCATGCGTAAATAATTAGCATAAAAGTTTGTACGTGGAATATCTGTGCATGGGTAAACTAGTTCGCGGAACAATTGTCTAAATCACGATATGCGCAATGCTGACCGTAAATTTAAAGTACCTGTGTTAGATAGGCGGAATTTTTCTTTCAATTCAATTCAAATGAAACAATTCTTTGTAATTGTTATAATTGTACTCTAACCTTGAAGCCTCTCTTGAATTTGATTTAATGTTGCTTGATTGCAACATGCAGAGTGAGAAGTCTTACGAACTAACGATTTTCGTCTTTTGTTTGTTGAAACCCAGGATATTTTGGCGAATAAAGTTTTCAAGTTTTCCAAAATTAGTTCATCGCACAATCGTCGTTCAAAACATATTTCTTTTCGTGCTTTTGGAAGATTGCTATCAATTTTAATCTTATTCCATTCCTGCAATGAAGATCCTTCTGCTTGTCACCCTCTACGTTCTGCATCAGGCATGATAAGTATAGATATTGCAATGATGTGAGACTGTTAATTAATGTAATCATAAAGTCTACCTTCCGCTCGCCATTTATCTTTGGCATATAAACTTTTTATCAAGAAGCAATTACAACCCATTTTCAGGAGCTTGAGATGAACTTATCTTTCATCTTTTAGGTTAAATTCATGAAAATATCTCAAATTACATTGTTAGACAGATTCAATTTTTTTCATGTTGAACTTACATAAACTAACACTTTGAACGTCATTTTACGCTGGTGTTAACTCAACCTCGTATTACACCAGTTAACACTCATAACACCTCAACCTCGTTTTTTTCTCAATGAGCTTATTAAATTACGGAGAACAAAATCAAGTTTTCTCTGCTGGTGGCTAATGAGTTGTTAAAGCGTAAATTTTACCTGAAATCGCTGCGACGACCAGCAGTCCGGCAGCTGATAGCGCTGCGGCCCGTCGGCCTCCAGCATGCGTGCCTGACATGCTCGTAAAATCTCCTCCCTCAAAGTCCAGTCACAAATAGCGCACGCAAATCACATGTTTTCGTCTATAACCAAATCAAAACATGAGTAACAAAGGAAATCTGAACAGCCAGGCAATTTATGACGCAACAGCTTGAGTGTTTAGGGACTCAAGGCTGATTGATCGTCAAGAGTTTCGCACGACGCATCCACCAGTAAGCCAGGACACGACTGAGGGCAGCGCGCTGGTCTAGCCTGCCCTCCACTCCCTTACCTCCCCCCCCCCCTCATCGGCCTTATAGGCCGTCGTGTATATAGGCTCCTCCTTTTCCCTCGCCACCTCTTAGCTCTTGTTTCTCTCACTGCTCTTTATTCTCTGCGGCTTGAGCATGAAACAATTGCTAAAATAAAGGCATGTTAATCAATATCAAATACCTAGCATATTCATACAAATTTGTTCCTACTTTAAACCTACAACCAATCAAATTCTGTTTTCGCTTCGTACTATTTTCCGCTATCATTTCCAGACGGGTGATGAAAAAATACGAGGTCGCCGCCCCTGTCTCCCTCTCCCCCGCGGTTCTGGGAACAATATGCCAGCACTGCGTTTAAGACTCTTTGAACGATTCCTCAGCCGCCTCCAAAAGATTCTTCTCGAGAGGCTCGAAGAACTTTGCAATTTTCATTGTGTTTCCCTTGCCTTGAGTCACAGTTAATGTCAAGTTCAAGCAACCACTTAGGGTTGAAGCGCCTTCTTGCATCATACATAATAGTAACTATAGGTTTTAAATTGCCCATTGTGAATATAAAATAAAAGATAATCTCGTTAAGCAATGGAAAAATGGCTAAGTAATTTTAAAAGTTGTCCTTTTTAGATTAAAACAAAAGTCTACATTCGCCATCGACTGTCGACAGTCTGAGAACGAGCACGAGCATGCGACACTAATTATCATACAGGCTGTGAACATTACCTTGGACGCCCCATATCAATTGCATAACGATCTCTTACTGTAGCATTGATGTGATTTACTATTGAAATTGTTAATAAATTTTCTTTCTCGCATATGAATAAAACAACAACAATAATGGCAAAAAAAATAATAATAACAATACCAACACTAACGATTACACTAACACTAATAATAATAATAAACAAAACTGCAACTAATGCTGGTAATAATACATATACTAATAAAAATAGTACTAATAATAAAAAAATATTAATAATGAAAATAAAACAATTTGGAATTTAGAACTAAGAACTTAACTATAACTCCTAGCACAATATCGGACCATAATTAGTTATGATCAGCACTCTTCCAATATTATAGTTCAAGGACGAGGAATATTACAATTAACAAGCCGGTGAGCTTTGACATTACCTTCAGCTTTATGGCATTTCATACGTGATAAGATTTAGTTGTACTCGAGAATGATATGAGATATGATTACACGCTGCATCCTCTATACGAGTCTGCGCGGTGCATGGGGTGCAAGTCTTCCTGGATGTCTGTTAGAAAATCTTCGGATAATGGACCTAATATTCAAGTATCTCTTCTTCATATATATAAGTTTCACATGCAATAATATTTTGCCTTTCTTTAGAAATTTTGATTATCTCATCGTACTGACTATATTTCACCGTGATTGTGTTCAATAAGGACTGACTTCACTCTTCTTCTTAACGACTTCATTTTTAGTCCAAGCTTCGGTGGACACCAATCCGGACTAGAGGTAAACTACCATATAATATATAGAAAAATTTATTGTAAATTATTTATGAAATAAAGTTAGTACAATAGGGTTAAACGGCTGGTATCTCATTAAGTTGCCGTAAACTTCACATTATGTTTCAGATTAACTTCGCTTCCGATTGCATTACTTATTTTTTTTAATGGAAAGATGCATCTGAGATCTGAAAAAGCAAATTTTCTAATTTTAAAAAGATAGATTACATTTTATTAACATATGAAATAAATACAAAAACTAATATCAAAGCAAAGAACAAGGAAAAAAGTACTAATAAAAATCCCGAAAATATTATGAGCTGTTTGACGCGGAATAGGAACTGAATTGGTGAATATGCATGCAAACCTTGGGACATTAAATCAATTATTTTGCTACACTACAAGTCGTATAAGCTATTTATTTACAGAAACAAGTAAGAAATAAACTGTTCAGAAGGAAATAACCATTGAAATTGTTTTAAAATCTCTACAATTCGTGGTCAGCGGTAGAACGTAGAAATAGAACTTATGGTTAGAATCTTATTTGTGAAAGTATACCCTCAATTCATAGAAAATTCTGATCAAAGAAAATATTCACTGGACAAACTTATACAATATTTCTGGCAATGAATTTACTGCGCATTGTGTTGATATATGATATGCATATGATGCCCCAATATTTGCAATGATTGTTCATAAACTGGGGCTCATATATGACATAAATTTCCATTTAACGATTACATTATTGCCTTGAATTGAATCTACTAAAATTAAAAAAAAAATAAAAGGACAAAGTAGTTCATCATATATGAATGAATTCGAAGGGAAATTACAGAAATTTATTTTCATTCAAGGCAACAAACAAAACATTAGAAAACCAAGAATTCTTCACGTAAATTTGTATTTAAATTTAAAGTTATCGCACACCGTCTATACATCGACGCACTACACACCGGTCCGACACTTCAGCGAACTCGCGACCGATTCGACACTTCAGCGAACTCGCGTGCGAACTGGCCTGCGAACTCGAATGCAAAACCTAACTTCATTTCAACTGTGGCACTCATAAATCCTTCAATTATGAACGGATTTTATTCAAATTTGAAATATAAGTAGATAATATCAGTATTATTAACAAAAAGTAATTGATGTAAAAATCTGAAAAAATTCCCCCCCGCAAAATACTGATATTATCTACTTATCTTTCCAATTTGAATAAAATCCGTTCATAATTGAAGGAGTTATGAGTGCCACAGTTGAAAATGAAGTTAGGTTTTGCATTCGAGTTCGCAGGCCAGTTCGCACGCGAGTTCGCTGAAGTGTCGAATCGGTCGCGAGTTCGCTGAAGTGTCGAATCGGTCGCGAGTTCGCTGAAGTGTCGAATCGGTGCACTACACAGAGTCAGTGCTGTGTATAGCGCCGTAGCCAAGCTGTGTGGTTGTTGGCAGAAGCAGTTCACTGGAGTCACTGGAGCTCAAGGGGCTGTGGCTGCTGTTGGTCAGCCCGCGCTCTGCTGCTGCTGCAATAATAATTATATAGAAGTGAATAACTGAGCCGCATTATGCAAGTGTTGACTGATAACTAGATTTAATGCCATTTTATTACAAAACGTTTCAATTTTATGAAGAAAAATGCGACCTTCTATAATATTTTACAAAATTTGATTACCGAATTCATTAATAGCGTGCGCCGATATGTTCCTAATCTACAATTTTGCATTTAAGTCATTGGGGCAAGGACTGTGTGCGGGAAGTTTAGGCAACCAATTTGGAATAAGGTTAATGCTAAACCTTGCCAATATTTATCAAGTTTCGCTTTAATCGCTGTCAGAAAATTTGAATTATTTGGAAATATTTTCTAGCCCGTGAGAAGTTGTGGGTTTGTTTACAAATTTTCATTCAAACCAAACAACCGGAGACCAATGAGGTAGAAGACATACGGGATCTTCATCCAGTTTTCCTCACCACTGACCTTGTCTCATCTTACGCGTGTACCCGAGGGTACCAACCGCCAGGGAAGCTCCGCCCACGCCGCACACCAGCAACGCAGCGCCGAGACCTGCACCGAGTAGCTGCTCGAAGAACCAACCACAAGGCTGGCCGGGTACGCAGGAATTGCTGCAACGCAGATACTCATATTAAATATTGCCCTTACCAATCGCTGGAGCGTAGACGCTTCGACTGGGCGCAACAGCGCAACTCACACCAGTTCATCTCGATAAGGCATAACTCATACCAATCACAGCAACGTACACATCCCGATATGGCAACGCATAAATCTCGCAGCAACGCATAAATTTCGATGTGGTACAACTCACGTCAATGTTTGTATGCAAACTCTAATATAAAGTGATTCTAACACCAATTGCTTCAACGTAGGCACTTGGGGAAGTGTATTTAAAATAGTTTCTATATTTTTGGGATGCGGCCATTTCGATTAGAACTCGAACCAATCACAACAATTTTAACTCTTTCTTGTGGGAATTTAAATTTTGTATAGCACTGAAATTAAAGTCTGAAAAAAATCAAATCCCATTTGAATCTCCTTGCGTGTTGATATGTGTGATCACTCGAGCTCGAACAGAACAATTTCATCAATAACATTACACTCAGTAATTTATTGATGACACCAAAAGCATAAAAAAACTATCTACTTGGTAGGCTGAACCCTCCAGAAGGCCAAAGGTATTGCACATATCGACTACTTGGTGGACTGAACCCTCCAGTTCACAAGTCACTGAAGTATTGCACATATCGACACGCATATTGCAGGTCGTCCCATGCACGTACGTGGCGACCTCCTGTACGAGGACCACGACGAGGCCGTTGGCGAGCTTATCGCCGAAGCTCATGCAGCCGTAGACGAAGGCAGAGCTCTCCTGCACGTGCAAATTACGTTTTAAGACGGTGCATGAAATATTAAAAGGTGAAAAATTAGGTAGTTTTGCTCCGTAACTATGCGATCCCTTATTCCACCAATCGAGCTGTAAATAATGAATCAAATCTGACAGCTATTAGTGTAGTTAAAAACAATTTTACATTCCCCTCAACGGATTAAGTATTTTGCGATGTTTAAAAAATCGTGCGATTGCTGCGAGGTGCCGCCTCTACAAATAACTAACAACTTTTTCTGAACCAATTATAATATCCATATTAATTGAGATTCAGTGCAACCCTGAATATTTTATGAATTTGCAATTGAAATATGATAAATTACGATAGAGCATAGGTTTCGCTATTTGACTATCACAGAAAAAAAATACTTATATACGAACAGAAATAGTTGATGTGGTCAGCGAAACGATTTGTTCAGGTTTCAAATGAAGTTTTTCTAATGAATAGTTATGTGGCCAGCGAAATGATTTGTTCAAGTTTCAAATGAATTTTTTCTGTATTCATTTTTCCTGCATACAATTTGTTTGATGTTATTCAGATCACCTGAACGTCAGCCTAAAGGTAGAGTTTCCTCCTCAGTCTTGCTTAAATTCAATAAACTCTGTAGCTTAACTCTCAGTCTCTCAATAAACCATGAGCACCTCAATTACTACCTCATGTAAGAGGTTCGCGCTTACTGTGCAATGACAAAAGCTCAAAATTCTTCAATCAAAAGGCCATCGATAGAAAAATCTCTAAAAAGATTAACTACGTTCCATTTAACCACCATTTATTTTGCACACACAATACTAGAGCCATTTATTTCGGCTGTGGGGGCCAGAAAGAGATTCATCTCTAAGATATGAACCAATGTCTTCTTTTAGCATCATATATTTCATCACTCACAGAATATCAGCCATGTATTTCAGCTGTCGGGGCCAGGAGAATCATCTCTAAGAGTTTAAACTAAGCCTCGTTTAAACATCATGTATTTCAGCACTCACAGTACAGCGGCCGATCATGTCGGCTGTGAGGGCCAGCGAGAGGATCATGAGCATGGACGCTGAAAGTCCCAACAAGGCTGCCACGACGTACACGACGCCCTGAGAAAGCTGCGTCACCAGGGGCGCTGCGGTACCCGGCGCAACCGGCACGGGGAGCGTCCTGCCCCCGAAGAGCACCAGCAGACAGGCGACCAGACCTACCATCACGGCAGTCAACACGCTGCCCTGAACACGTTCATCGGGTTACACAACAAACAAATTTTCAAAAGTGTTTGAGTAAATTAAAATTGAGTTGAATGTATTGTAAGCTTTTTGGTCTTTAATAAAAGTCAAAATGTTAGATAAGCTAACTAATTTCTTCTATAAAAATTGAAAAAAATTATTTTTTTCCGAAGTGTTTTTCATGGGCATCGGTTAATGTTTTGTGTACACTAAGAAGATCACATTTATCTAATTAGTGTTGGCTATCACTTATTTCATGATGATATCACAAGATTACAATAATTATTGTCTACTGACAATAGTGCAGACCCCTGCCCATTTTACCTACCTTCTTGCCTGAACATTTCCTGAAGGTGCGTAGAAGGACGGTAGCCACGACGCCAGAGAGACTCATCACCAGCGGCACTAAGGCGATCAACTAAACGCGCAAAGTTACAAAAGGAATTTCTCGTAACATAAAGTTACTAATGCTACTTATTGGAAAATAATGCCAAGCATTTACTTGGCTATACACAGAACAGTGCAGCGCTGCATTGCAAAAACTCGTACTACAAATTCATGGTCCTCTTAACCTAATCTGTATATAGTTGAGCTGCTTTTTTAAAAAAAATAGGTTTAAACTTAACTTTCTAAATTCAATTTACGTATATCGCACTCTTGCATGTTCTAATTGACGTTCGGAAAGTTTAATCTACAGATAATTCGTATCTTCATTATTTCCAAATACTTTAGGAACTCTCCAATTTAGTAAGGATATGTCACTAAAAATATAAGGAAATTTTATCCTCTGTTTCGCGCCTACAGACGCCTGCATGGTGGAGGTACATGAACTTACCTCCGTGGAGTGCTGCGTTTCCTGGAGATAAACTGGCACGTACATGCTGCTTACGTTACAGACGAGGCGTGAACACGTGTATAGCAGCGAGATCTGTAGACCCGGAAAACCAAGAACACTCATTAAGTTATACAATATATGCAAAAATGAAAAGATATTTGAGGTATTCTAAAGGAAATATGGAATTCAACCATTATAGAGGAAGAACTTTTAAAAATCGGATAGCTTACAACCGGTATGTCATCTGATGAGAAACAATAGGGTTATTTGCAAAACCTAACCTGATAGAATTGAGGTTCTTTAAGCCAGTCTTTCCAGGACATCTGGACTCTTGTGTCGAGAAGAAGCTCTGCCTCGCTGGAGGCTTGAGACTCGCGGCGCTGATCGTTCATTTGGTCCGTCCAGCGCGGGTCGAATTCATCGAGGCTGCTGCTACTGCCGCTGCCGCGCCGCTCTCGAACTCCAGTCGCGGAGGGCCCAGCTGCCTCTTTTTGGGGGCTCGTTTTTAGAGATTGTTCTTCGGGTACATCTTTATCAGCTTCAATGGACGTTACTGCGGGATCCCTGGTGGCAGTTGTTTCTGGTGCATCACCGTCATGTTGTTTCTCATTTTTTTCTCCTATAGAAAATTCTTCATTCTCGTGGGTTTTGATTGGTTTTCTTGCCTTGACCTGAGTTGATGGCTGCTGCGTTGAGGTAGGAGAGGTCTGAACAGTTCGCGAAGGCCTGAGCACAGGATCTGGAGTGAACGCATGGAAGACCAGCGTGAAAACCACGCCCACCGACATCACCGTCGCCGTGACAATCTTCGTGAGATAAGCGTAAAATATACTCACAGTGGTGAAAAATTGAATAAATTGATGAATAAATAAGGTAGTAGTAATGAATTGGTTACAGCATAAATAGAAAGAACATACAATCTATTCGTTTAAAGCTTCAGTTTCGATAATTATGCTATGCCCTTTCCAAAAGAAATATAATTCCATCGAATGAAAATTTATTAATTCCAAGCACCTCAATATTTACACAAGTAAACAAGGAAGGTCTTTCGTAAATTGGAGCTCCTATTTGCGAATGTTCCAGTGTCTATTAGTGCATTAGTGGAAAACAGTTCGCGTTTAACGAGAATATTTATCGGTCAAAAATTACTGACCAAGTTGATAATTTATCTTCTGAAACAGAGAGAAACAATTCGCAAAGGTCGACTCAACAATGCAGCAAAATGACTGGCTCAGCACGACTTATAAATCTAAAACTCGATGATATAAAAGGTTTTTTTTCTAGAATACAGAATGGGTTGGAATAGCGTACCATGAAGTTATAGTCGTCGCTGGGGTCAAGAGTGTCACTGAGCGGCGTCATGTCCTCGCTGAACACCGCCCACACCACCAGGTACACCAACACGTCGCTGGTCACGTCGAAGAAATACCTGCAGTCAGCGCACAAACTTTATTTCTAGAATAAAAGTAGAGAATATATATTAAATTAACATATTTATTGCAATGTATGCATACTTCTACGCAAAGTTATTTTCAGAGGAGAGTTATCGGCACTGCGGGGATTGGATTGACATGAAGAGTACGAAAGTTCATCAAAAATATCAGTCTGTTAGTAAGAAATATTACTCAGAAATCTACTTATTAACAGTAAACTTTCCTTACTTCAGAAAGTTAGCTATGAATTTATATTATGTACTGTAGATTTCTCCACACCTGATAATATTGAGCTCATCTCTGTCTGCTTCACAGCTCGCGAGGTCCGGGATGAGGGCCAAGTGTGAGACTTGCACCGATGCCCATCCGAACTGCATGGATAACTCCATTATTTTGCAGTAATAACGAGCCGACAGTGTAACATTGTAGGAGAGAACACTTGTGTATTTGTTAATATTAGCATGCGCATGATGAGTAATTTTACTTAAGATTTATTTCTCATTGTGAATTTGTTTATTGCCATTATAGTTTAGAATTTGTGGATTAGGAATTTGCAAGGTGTGCTCTGAATCATTATTGTGCACTGCCAAGCCCGAGCGTAGATATGTATAACTTTAGGTCCATATGACGTGTATTATCAAAGTGAAATATGTGAATTGGTACGAATCAATGTAAGTGGTTTACTTGTATACATTATTTGATAGATAAATATATTACTTAAGTTTACGAGGCGCAAGTTTAATTATTTTTTACAGTGTTCCAAGTTCTATTGTTTATAGTTTCTTAAAAAAATTTCTAAGAAAAAATATCATAAGTATTCGTTACATTCAATCGCTGAGGCACCTGGAAGACACAGATAAAGATGGCCAGCGAGGCGCTGTACACAGCGGGGTAGAGCAAGCAGCCTGAGCAGCGGATGAAGATGAAGGGGAACGACAACAGCACGCACACGCTTCCTGCCACGGAGACACGTGCCATGTGTAACAAGTAGAACTACGACTTCTTTTTCATTGTAAGAAGAAGGATCGTCCGCTTTTTATCTAGTGATGAAAACTTTACTGCAATTTTAATGACGATGCTAAGTTTCACAAATAAGCCAATTTATTAATTGCAATGTATTGTAATGTAATTTGTAATTTTAAACTGTTAAAAATACCTGCTATCTACGTTAATAAACTATCAGTACTCGAGAAGATATGTTCCCTGTTGTATAAGGTCAAACACTTTGATTATCTGACACGTGTACTGCGGCGTTCACTTTTCTTCCAATATGGATATCACAAAAATTTTTGTTTCACTCTTCAAATTTCTCCAAATTTGGCAGTCCATTAAAGTAAACTAATGGTGAGAAATATTGAACGGGAATGGAATGGTGCATAATCCAAGAAATGGGTTAAGGGACATTAAAGCTCTACGATGCAATACTTCATACGCGGTTAAATCAATTAATTAGTGTTCAATAAATCTTGTGAAGCTACTTTTTTTGAGTGTTGATGCTCATTGCACCCTAAGTAATCAAACAGATCGTAAAACAATTCTTCATCATGACACAAATAAATAAATATGCTAAAGTTACTTATCGTACCAAAGGCATGCCAGGTCTTCCTCCTGCCGTATGGGGCGCAGCAGGTCGCCCGGCAGCCGCTGTCGCTGTACAGGCCCACGAGCGGCGTTGACACCGCGTCCGCTACCTGCCCCAGCAGTAGCAGCAGTCCCGCCGTGCGTCGCTCAAGCTGTGCAAATATTCATTTTACTTGCATTTGCAATGTTTTTATCTTTACCATATACAATTTTATAGTGCTCATGCATGATAGAATATCGGGATATATTCAATTTAATCCACCGTAATCCGGAGAGTTGTGTAATGAGTTGGCCACCGTGCAAGTGCACCTAAAGTTGTGCAGCAGAACAGGTCCGTTTGCAAGTATCGGTCACAAGGGATCTGAGTCTCAATGTCTCGATAAATGTCTAGAGTTCATGCTGTGGGTAAATAGGCATTCAATGATGGTAATTTTAGCATGCACTTGCGTTCAGAAAATGGCATTCATGGCTGCATTCACCGAGAAGACGTCTTGCATGTAGGTGGGTGTTTGGGTATTGAGGCACTCATCTACAGCACGTATTGCATTGAGGTTGGTGAGTCGGTAATATAAAGAGAACTCACCTACAACACGTATGGCATGCAGGTTGGTGAGTCGGTAATATAAAGAGCACACACCTGAAGCACGTATTGCAGGTAGATAAGAAGGTAAGTGAACCACATCGAGGCACAAAGGTCGTTCATGACGTGACCGACGCCATACGAGAGTTTTGTGCTGAGCTTAAGAGTCTTTTGATTATCCATTTTTTCGACTCGTTCGTTAGCTGGAACATGGAAACGCGAAGGATGAAAAAAAAAATTAAAATAAACAAATAGAATATGTAAACAAAAACCTAATCTTACCCACGTTAGTTTTTATAACCCGCATTTCGGAAAGAGCAATTTCAGCCAAATAAATCGAATGGATTAAATATAGATAAATCCTTTCTAACATGAGAGGCGACTGAGACCAAATTCTTCTATTTCCAGCGCATCAACAAACCATTCAGTTATGATTAAAAATAAGTATACTATTCACGTCGCATCGTGGTCATTCACTAAAAAGTTAACGACATGAAACTGCACATAATTTTTTCCTGTTAACGAAGCCAGTGTAATTTCCGCAAAGATCTGATGAGTCGTTTAGCGCATTGTATTGATTGCAATGATATCAGATACTAGAGAGCAAATATAATGTGATTACAATGCCGCTGATATATGCTCTCTAGTCTCGTTGCTCTCTAGTCTTCCAAATGCGCTTTATTATTCTCGAAAAGAGGCGAAAACATGTATTGTGAGGGCAACACAATTTTATGCATGACTTTTGTAACTATTTTTTCCTTCTCTGTTATCGAGTTGGAAAAACCTACAACAATCTGTATGTTAAACGTCAAAATGGTTTGTACGAAAATAGTTTATGTAGCAATTAAAGATTGATGAGCTCACGTTTCAACCATTATAACGCTATTAGTCTGGTCGACTGATTATGAGTTAGAAATCTAATTTTCAGGATCAAATTAAGAGGAACTCGTGCTCAATTCCGGCTAGAACATCAAACAGGCAAATTTTCTTCACTACGTTACCTAAATATTCTTATTGATGTTAGTGTGAATCAACACACATCAGTCACTCCCTCTTATCATTTGATCTAGCAAATTCTCTTGGTCATCGCATCTTACCAACAGATGAACAAAATAAACTTCGTTCTAAAATGTTCAGGAAGAGAACACGTACTCAGTTCGCAAGACAATGTCGCTACCAACACTGCTCGACGCTCGGGCTACTCAGCGCTGACTCAAGGAAGCCACTCAAAGGACGGCACGAACTGCACCAATTCACGATCAGTGTTCAAGTAATAACCATTCCAGGCAAATAGATTCTATTCGATAATTTTTGAACATGAATCCTGTATTTATAGAATTAATTAATAGGAGTCCATACTGGAGTTGCTGCATTTACAATGGTTCTTGCCTGATGACAGAGAAACGTTCGGTTTTACCTTCCAACAATTATTGCAAATCAATATCGTCGACTACGTAATTTTATTACTAATAATGAAGATTTCACGTTTTAGTAAACCTTTGAAAATGAGTTGAGTCTAGTCGAGTTCACTGGAGGTAAGGAGTAAACTCAGGTCACGAGACGCTACCGTCCAACTCTTCCGGACTGAAGAATTAGTAAGACCAGTTCCCGGCTTGCGCCTGACGCGCTAATTATTGACCATAACATTTACAGGGCTTCTACGAGGCTCCTGATCGCCTGCTGCTGCTCCAGCACTCGATGTTGTGCTGCTACGCAAGCCAGTCATGGACCAATCATTGCAGCACCAGAATTCGATCTCATACCGCTATTCCAGCACTAGGTCTATCTATTACCGCTATTCCAGCGCTAGATTACCCATTTTCGTGCCCATCTCCCTCTGCTATCCAGAAACAGGATCACGCACTAATAGTGTGTGATCCTTTACGCTGGCATTAAACACTGCAAATCCAGTGCACAATCGCAGAATCGCTCAATGATTAATTTCTGCCGTACAATAAATAGTTATTAGAAACATAACAGCACAAAATAATGATTAAATCGCGTTCACCTTGAAGTTAATAACTGATTTTCCTATTCTGTCTTCCTATTCTGGATTAATTTCTAGTTTTATAACTAAATTTTTGGGAAAAAGTGCTTGCATTCGATGCTTATCAAGTTATTTCTGTGGTTTGATTGAAAGTGATTGAGCATATTTTACGACCGTCCATCTCAGTAATCGTTTTCTTCGGTATAATATGCAGAAAGTCTTTTTTTTTGAGGGCGGACTAAAATGATTTCAGTTCTAGCAGTTCAAACCGTGAAAAAGTCACGTGAAAACTCAATGATAGCATTCAAATATTTATGTGGCCTCTGAAAAAAATACAACAAATTTGCATTTAGATTATCGTATTAGCTAGAGTAAAATCATATTCGTAGTCAATGATTAAATCATTGACCATGCCTTTTGCGACAACAATCTGGACTATCTGGTAAGACTTTCATCTGCATGCTCAGATGATGCTCTGCTCCGGCTGCATTTAAAATTTGTGTACATCTGCTAGGCAGCGCCGCCAAGTGATTGAGATCGCAATGATTGAAGCGAGTTGTGAGTCTATGTGATGTGAATATTCTAATTAACCACAGGAAGATGGTTGGGTGGTTAAGAACAACATGGTTTAGGCGGGGAGTTGCAAGCACGCGCGAAACTTGTAGCCAGCAGTGAAATTTAGAATCGACGAAAGGCCTAACCCTCAACTCTGATGCCACTATGTTATTAGTATATCATTTTATTCATTATTAATTTCTCTGAGATTTTCAAGTGGTGAAACGTTGTCTTTACAAATTATTTGAGATTTTGTGAAATCAGCACTGAATTGCAGCACTTAAATGTTTTACTCAATTATCAAATGCCTTGATTTTGTAGGAGTTTTAACACTTATCATTGAGAATAAATAGCTAATAATTGATGGCAATAATTTTGGGTGCGATATGGGTCATTCTTATTCCAGGCACTGAATAGTAAATTTGTAGAATTCATATAAGATAACTTAGATAAGCAAAAGGATCTACAGAGAACTGGATACTTTGAGCGCATACTATATACTCAGCTTATTTGAGCTGATGTTTAAATATCAGATCAAAGGTCGGCAAAGAGGAGAAGAGGAAAAGAAGGGAGATGTACATGCGTATAGTGAATATGACGGTCCATTTCAAACCCATATTTATTAACAACACTATAATTAGACTGAAATTATTATGTCTGATCTTCCCTAAATATCAAAATTTGTGAAATACTTGCATACTATTTAAATTTGAAGTCATTTCATTTGGATAAGCCGTATTCATGCTATTACAACGTGGTGCATTGCAAGCGAGCTTAATTGAATTATCATAATATTATTCAGGAATTGTTTATTATCTAACATATTTTTCGTCCAGCAAAGTTTTCTCCAGTTTCCCTTATAGTGCGAAAAATGCGACGCCTTCCTGCCGCGGTGTCCCGTAGTAATGCTCTATAAAAGTAAGTCAGGCCGGCGGGATAGCAGGATAAAGGCAGTCGATAAGATGACGCGATATACGGAGGCACATCTTCGCGGGAACCGCCCCAGTCGAAACGATGTCGCAAAGACCATCGATATTTTTAGTTTATTCGAAGCGTTTTCACGGTCCTGAGATGAAGAGCGGCCTCTTCGAGCCTCAAAAGACTTTTGGCTCATAAATGGCCTTGCAGGGAGGGTGGCAATATTTTGAATCCCCACAAAAAGTCCGCATTCTGACATTTATTTGAGATGGCTGTTGACTTGAAGGAGTAATAGTTCTTTGCAGAATTATGAAATTTTTGTTTGTTATATATTTGGCGACATAATGTCTTTGATGTTCTTTGATGTTCTTTGATGTTCTGACATAATCAAATCTTCTAATGTTCTATTTAGACGTTATTTAGATATGAACAACAATTACTTTTAAAATAGTTTTAGAACTTTCTGCAGCATTATTATTCAATGTTTTGCAAAGTGGTATCAGGAATGTTCGATGATGTTGCTTAATGTTAATGGTCTTGATGTCAAAATTCTTTAGGATTTACGGTGTTTTCCATGAAATGAGTTTTTCACATGAATACACACCCCGATAACACGAATAGTCATAAATATTCGCATGAACACTCACCTCCCCTTTGTCCTACAATATATAAGAATACATTTGTTGCAAGGCCTGAAACAGATAATGTATTTAAGCTATTTTACCCCGAATAAGTCATTGCATTACCCCGAATAAGTCAATACTTCCTCATCATACTCAATAAAACTAATAGACAGAGTGACAATCCTCCTAGATGTCTCTCGGTAGCTGCATGATAAAATCAACGTTCACTCGTAAAAAGGTTTCTTCGGCTCTCGCACCAACGTTGGAGGCACTTATCTTACAATATTGGGTATTTAGTATAAGGTTGCTTTCAGTAAACTCGCGGGACTATTACAACTGGCCAATCATTGGCCGATTGTTATCCTTCTGCACACGCCAACAATTCTAACGTGTGAAAGGGAAACTCGAGAAATTCCCAGCTTCTGCCATGCAGCTGAATGCCGAAGAAGCTCTAGGAACGAGATTACACGTCTGCGATAGCCGGTCATGACGGCGACGACGTGCTGTGGGAAGCTGGCGAGACGACGCTTGCCATATACGCCCGGATATTGTCACTGTACTTTAATCTTCGGCCGACACTGAAGCCATGATCTTGAATCATAATTTTGAGAAATAAGTCACACTAAAAATACATGAAATGTTCCTGCTGGAATATTATGAGCTTATTGAGTGAGAATCGTGAAATAGTAAGGGTACGCTGAAGTAAGGGGGCATGATAATAGCTGGAAGTTCTTGGATGCAATTACATTGCACAATATGCGGGACGCATTCATAATACTTTTGGTACACATTGGGCATCTTAAAAGACTCATTGTGCAACCAATGTTCAGGAGAATGTTTCCAGATATGTACATATCATGTTTCCTGAGATTTATTTCTAATTTATAATTAATGGCGAAAAATTTGCCCCAGTTAAATTTTTTGCAATTGAACTGGAGGTTGCAATGCATAAATGACTTTTGAAAAATGACACATTTTATGGTCTTATTACAAAATTGTAATCTTTCCAATGACTTGAAACATTGCATGAGCCAAATCTCCTACAAGTTAGTGGATGAATCATATGATGCTTAAAAATGAGCATACATATATAGGTTGTAGCATTATTTCTTC